GAGTTCCTTTCATGACAGTGATGTGGCTCTCTTGAACAAGTCATTATGGGCCCCAGAAATGACCCTTTACTGTGTATGGCACAAGCAAAAAACCTGGTTGTATTAGCCACTGATGCCCAAGACTCACAGTTCGTGATTTCTGCTGTGTGTCTTGGAGTTATATCTTTAAACCCTTTTTCAGTGGCCAGTCTGGTCTTGGACCAGGCTGAAAAACTTATGCTCACTTGTATCATTTAATTCTGAGTCGTAGCTGACTTTGGAGTAGACTTAAAAGCCCAAAAGTGGTCTGTGCTTTTGGCTAGTGACATTTATTTTGTCTCCATCTTGTTACTTGACATTTTTGGCGTACACTAACCTTGTTTGATCATTAAGAAAACACAGCCCACAAGATCTTGAGAGGGTGAGTGTAAGGTGAAGGTGGGGGGCAGAGCTTGTGGGTAAAAGAATAGGGGGTACTGTTTGGTTATGGCTGATTCAGTCTTGAACCTTAGAAGCTCCTGACGGCATGTAACACTGCTAACCATTTTCTGCTTCTAAGATCCCCCCACGCTTCTGAAATGCATACCAAATAGGACCACAGTTTTAAATACTTTAGTATATTCTACTAAGGTTTAACATTATACTGTTCCAGCCTGGTAATTTTGCTAAATATGCTTGGCGTTTGGGGTTGGGGTGTGAGTTTCACTGTTCCCATTGTACGTGTCACCCTGTATGTTTTCTCCTCCTGTGACTTTGGCATCTTCTTTGACTTTCTATTTTTCTTTTCCTTGTGGCTATTGCAATGTCTCTGTGCAGAGTGAGACTCAGTGTTGCATATTCCCGCTATTATCGCTAATTATCTTCATAATGTCAGAGGTTTTCTTTATGTTCTAAGAAATAATGCATTTTTTTTTACAGAAATCATCTTTTTCAGTTTAAACAAAATAATATCCTGTGATAGGGTGCCCATTTCAGCTTTTGACATTGGCCCATTAAAGACTGCTTTTTGTCTATGGTTGGTGTAACTAGACTATGAATTTTTCATGTAAATGAAGCAATTAATATTCAGATTTTTAATCCTATAACCTTGACCAACTGATGACTTTTATTTAATTACTCCAGAAGCCACTTCCCTCCTACCTTTTATTCTATTCTGTTTCTATTTTTGAATTACACCTAGATAAAGAAACTTTAGTGCAAGGATCGTGATTTTCGTGCTCCTGATAATGTTGACAACAAAAAGTAAAGAAATTATTTAATTGGTTTTTTCCTGTGTAATATCTTCCCCCTGTGCTTGATAGTGTGTTTGTAGGCAGATGGATTAACTCTGTAGTTCTCTTTTCCACTCCCCAGATTCCCAAAAATCCCTGCCTTTCTGGTCCACCCTCACCACAAAAGTCCAAGGTTTATTAATGTAAGTTTGAAGGCTGTTCGTTTGGGAAACTTGCAGAGATTAATGGAATTGTTTCAGAAAGGAATGAGAATGTTCAGGAGTTGTTCTGGTGGGAATGGTCTGCTTGTCCTGTTAATCGCTGCGATGGAAAGAACTGCACGTGCGTAATAAAATATGATTCTTTTAGTAAAAAATTGTGAATAATTTTTTTAAAGTTTGGATTTTCTCCATCTCCGGATACATTCCTGCAAACAAGAGGATACACTTGTCTCATCTAGAGTGTTAACATAGAAATAGAGCCATTTGTCGAATATCAGGGCAGAGACCCCAGTACTAAGAATGCATGCAAAAGGAAGACATTTTAGCTTGCTGGCTCTAACTTCTTTCATTTGGATGTTCTAAAGGGACTTTTGTGTTGTCTTGGTGTTTCCAACACTGGAACCCATCCTTATTTTTTCGCATATTATGGGGGTACAATGTTAGGGTTACTATATGCTCTAATGCCGACCCTCACCCTTCCCACACCCGCACAACACCTGGATAATTTATTCCTAATGTCCCATTAAGTGTGCTGATCCGTTAAGTATCAATTTATGTGAGGATGTGGACTCTGCTTTTCATTTTGAGCAATAACTTCACCTTAAGTAGCAATGGGTTCAGCAAGCCATCATGCCAGGGAAGTCAGAAAGGTGCTATATCAAATTGTTTCTTAAGCCACTGTAGTAACTCCATGGTAACATATACACATTTTATTAATCCACATCATGAATTGATGGCAACCTGGGTTGTTTCCACACCTTGCGATTGTGAACTGTGTTGCTATAATATTCGAGTGCAGGTGTCCCATTTGTAGAATGCATTCTGATCTGTTAGGTCTCCCCAGTGTGGAATCTGGATGAATGGTAGAATCTAAGCTTGTATCGCTTTAAGGTAATTCCATTACTTGTTTTCCACGAGGTTGACAGTTTTTGAGTCCCACCAGCAGTGCTTGGTGTTCCTTCTCTACACATCCCGCCACCAGCTTATTGTTGGGACTTTTTTGAATAAACACGATTCTTACAAGAATAAGTGATATCTCATTAACAGTGTTTGATTTGCATTTCCCTGATGATTAGTAGTGTTCGTATTTTTCATAGTGTTTGTTGGCCTTTATCCTGTCTTCTTTTGAAAATTTTCGTGTTCATTGTTCCTTTTCCCACTTTATAAGGGTTTGTTTGATGTCTCTGTTGGAATTTTTCCTGAGTTCTAAAATATATCTCTAGTTTTCAGCCCCTTTGTTGATGTGTAGCTTGCGAAATTCATTCTACCCTTCTGTGGTTTCTGTTTGCTCTCTTGACAGTTTCTTGGCCTTTGCGAAGATTTTTCATTTGATTGGTGCCATTTATTATTTTTGTTGATGCTGTGATTGCCTTGGGGTCTTTTCATAAATTCTTGGTCTGAAGAGTATTTCGAACCGTTATTCCTCTAGTCCTAATATTCACACCGATGTTCAGTCTGTTACTCAGCGTGATTGATTTTTGTTGGAGGTGAAAGTGGTGGGTCCTGTTTCAGTCTTCCATGTGCTGTCAGTTTTTCCAGCACATATGAATAATGATTCTTTTCCCCAGTGTATGTTTTTGTCTTGGTTTGTTAAGTGTTGGGTATATCGAGGTGATTCTTAGTTCTGGTCTATTCGTTCCCTGGTCCAATTCGTCCTGTTCTTGTGTGCCAGTCATCAGATGTTTTAATGCCCTATAGCCTTGTGCATAGTTGAATCTATTTAGATTGGATACTCTTCCCTATTTTTGTTGATTGCCTAGGATTGTTTTTTTCTATAGGGTCCTTCGCGGGTTCGTATACGAAGATTAAAATTTTTTTTTTCTATAGTCTGTAAAATGATGGTGGTATTGTATGAGATTCCCTCTTGACTCTGTAGGTCACGTTGGGATAATAGACATATTTAAATGTTGATTCGGTGACCTAGCATCCCGGTATATTTCCTTCCACCTGTTTTTACATCCTCTGCTATGTATCTTTCTTCAGTGTTTCATGTTTCTCTTGTAGGAGGTCTTTACGTCCTTAGAGAATATTATTTAGGCTACTTTTTTTCTGTTGCTATTTTTAAGGATTAGTCTTTGATTTGGTCTCCTTGTACTACTGGTGGCCGTATATGAATGCTCTGTTTCTGTGGTATGAGTTATTGTTCTGAGTTTTACCCAACATTTATCAGATCAAGGAGCTCTCTTGGCTTGAATCCTTTGGGTTTCTAATGCTATATCCATGCTCAGCAAGAGGAGAAGTTGTGATCGCTTCTGCAGTCCCATTTTGGACACCATTTCTGCCTCTTCGGTCTGATTGTTGTAGAAGGACTTCCACAGCACTATTGTTAAATAGAAGTGGAGATAGTGGAGCAACTGTCCTTCCTCCGTTGGCTAAGTGGGAATGCCTTTTCAATTTTTCCCCCATTCAGTTATATGATATTTGGCTGTGGGGTTTTTGTCATTATTGGGCTTATAATCTTTTATAAAAAAAAAAAAAAAAAAACAAAACAGAAAGTCTCCAAGTATATTTCCAGGTTCTTGAGAAACATTTCATAGTAGCCCCCATGATGTACAGACTTTGGAGCCAAATGATTTAACTTTGAATCTGGCTCTGCCACTTACCAGTTCAGTGAACTTGGGCAAATTACTTAGCCTCTCTATGCCCTAGTTTTCTCATCCTTAAAATTGGAGAAATTGGTATCACCTTGCAGGGTTGTTATGAGGATTAAATTAAAAGTCATTTTACTTTGTCATTTACTTTGTCTAAAGGAACAACAGAGGATGTAGCATGTCCAACCACTTAGTAATCAAAAGCTGTTATTATTCCTAATAACATTCATTGAGAGCCAGTAATACACTGCAGAGTTATACAGTTTATAACATTAGCACTAGCAGTCACATTTCTGGGATTAAAAGAAAAAGAAGCTAGATGTGGTGGTGGTGTGTGCCTATAATCCCAGCTACTCAGGAGGCTGAGGCAGGAGGATCTCTTGAGCCCAGGAGCTTGAGGCTACGGTGAGTTATGATCACAGCCCGGGCAGCAGAGTAGAACCATGTCTCTAAACAACAACAACAACAAAAAATAAAAAACAAACCAAAACAACAACAAAAAAGAAAAACAGGTGATTGTTTTTAGTTATGAAGGATTCCGTGGAATGTTGCACATAGATCTCTTATGTTTCTTTCCTTTCACTTGCACATCTACATCGGACTTTAGAGGCTGACCAACCAGGAATGGAATCCTAGCCCTATGACTTTCTATTTAGGTGTCCTTGAGCAAGTTACTTTAATCTTTCTGAGCCTCAGTTTCCTCATCTGTAAATGGGGCATCATAAGATCTACCATTTAGGATCCCTATAAGTATTAGAAAAGCAAAGTTTTGTGAACAGTAGCTGTGTCATTTTGCCATTGAATTATAGTTGGGTCCATCTGTTGTCACCATAAGTTCTCAGGACAGTATCAGAATGGACTAGGTATCAACAAGCTTTAGGTTTTCTGGTTTTTTTGAAGAACTGAAACAGCTTCTTCACGCTAGCCTATGAACATGTTTAGGAAGGGTCAGCCAGTTTGGGATTACCATTTCCACTGAGTATCTCTGTTTTTGACAGAGCTTTTCAGATGGAGTCTCTAAATCCCTGGAGCATCATCAAAGTCGATCTCACTCACAGGCAAACGGAAACAATGGCACATTGATCAAGGAAGAGAAGAGTGATCATCATCTTCCAGTCCCATCACAGTGTGGCTTATCCAAAGACAGCAACGTGTGTAATAATGGTAACCGCTACCTCCCTGTGAAGAATGGGGAGAAGAACCGCTTACAGGAGCAAAAGCTAGAAACTGTGGCACAACAGAAAGAGGAATGACATGCTGAAGATGGCTTCACCAGATCAGGAAGATGGGAAAACCTGTACTTTTCTGATTCTAGGCCCAAGTTAGAGGAGAATATAAATGCTTACCCTAGATTTATCCAGTATTTGGATGGGATATCTTACTGTATCCATCTTTTCCCCTTCCCTATCTTTTTCTGGGCTTCCAGACTTAGTGGTCTGCTTATGGGGAAGTTCTGGTCAAAGATCAATGGCAATAAGACTAGCTCCTATTCTCAAATTCAATATATAGCACCAATATTCTCTTTATCTCCCCTGGGAGCCTAGTAAGGAAGTAACTGTCAGAAATTGGATGTCATCACGTAAGGTCTTATAGAAAAGTTCCAGCTTTGGTTATCTGAGCATTTAGCACCATATTCATTTGCATATTTACGTGATGAACCTATAGGGTTGTGGGGACAGCTGTCTATGGCTTCCTGACTTGTTTTTTTTCTCTATGAAGTGGTAAGGCCATGATATATCATCAGTATCCACCTCCTCCTCACTCTTTCTCCCAGCCCACCTACCCCAGGATTTTGTACCACCACCTCTAGCTCTGGCCTGACAATCAGATAGGTAGATGTTTTCAGGAAAATAAGATAGTATTGGTTGTTTTATTTTATTTTATTTTTTGTTTAATACACTTAAGAAACTACCAATGGCCTTTGTACTGGGGGATTAAAGTGAGTCAGAAAAGTATTGGGCAGATTTTTCCTGCCTCTCAACCAGTCATTGTTTGTAAAATAGAAGATGTGGTGCGGTTCACCTACTCCTTACTGCCCACACCCTGAAAGGGTTGGAATCAATGTAGTGAAATTGAGTACAAAAGGGACTCAAAAGACTCTGTGTGTGTATGTATATGTGTGTGTTTATGGGTGTGTGCGTGGGTGTATATATGAATGCGTGAATCTCTCTATATGCATACACATACCCTTTATATAAAGAGACAGATCTATTTATCTATACATATTTTATATATATATGTGTGTGTGTGTGTACATATATATATGTATATGTACACACATACATAAATACATGGTGATGTCCCAGATGATGTACTGAATTTCCCATAAATGCTTCCACTGCTATGGAGTGGTGGGTTTCAAAAGACCACACTTTAAATCTGAAATCCTTACTAAATCACAGCCCATTACAATTATAAGTAGATGGGCTACTCTAAATCAGACAAAAAGTACTTTCCAGAGATTGCCTGTTCAGAATAACAAACACTTAAGTTAAGCTTAATCTTGAACAGAACCCTCACATCCCATATGGTGAAAACAGGAGGTTGAACTGGGATTGGGAAGAGTTGGGTATTTCCTTATGAAGGTTTGGAGAGAAAAGTGGGGATGGGAGGTGACTACCATTTGAAAGGGCTTTCAGCCAGTTTGGAGGAAATCTCTTCTGGAACTCCAGGGTCAAATTGATTTCAGGATAGAACTGATTGACATGAATCCTTGAAAGGGAGAGGACTAGAATTGGAAAGATGGGTTAGGGAAGTGTGAGGAAATTGACAATTTGATTTTACGTGCCTAGATTGTTTCATTTGTTCATTGACATTCTGACTACCGGATCTTTTCATTTGCTTTGCAAGGAAGACTTCAGAGGACTCCGGCCTGGGCCTTTGAGACCTATTCTGTAAAAGACTCTCAGCCTTGTTTATGGCCGTTATCTGCCCAGGATAAAAAGGCTGTTCCTCCTTGCTGGAGTTAATCTTGAGACAACCTTGTATTTCCAGTTTCCCTCCTTGGGCAGCCTAAGTATGAGGGATGGAAACATGGCTTGCAACAAATTAGCATGGTGTCTTCATTCAGGAATTGAAGTTTCTAGCCCCACACACCTCTTTTTGGGCTTTGTGATATTCTTGTCCAAGAAGTACCATTTCTCCTGGAATACAACTGACTGAACTTCTAGCAGGGTTCTCTCTTTTTGAAAAACCCCATGCACCTTAATCCACTGCAGGTCCTTGGTGATTTTTGCCCAGACAACCAGAAGGCTGTTTGCTCACTGGCCACTTATAATGACCTTATCATGGGAAATTAAAACCAGTCTCAGACTATTTAAGCCTAGTCTGGCCCAGTTTAATAGAACCCACAATTTACAAGGAAAGGGAACCCTGGAATGCCTTGCTCCCTGTCTAGATACTTCTTACATAAACCAAAGGTTGACAAGAATGTATATCTAGATAGATACAAACAAAAACAGGGTATACAGAACCTTCCTGTTTGGAATCAGCTCCCCTGATTTAGTCCCCCTTCTCTTGGACCCACCCAACCTTTCATAACATCTTGAAGGTTAGGATTCTATATCCAGTAAGGGAGAGAATTAGTAGTAAATTTACATGGCTTGGAATTTTCTTTCTGGAGCCACAGAGGGATGAATTCTTTGGAGCTCTAAAAGTAACCAGAATCACTGAGCTGCTAGATATATATATATATCCATTTTCTGGTATTTTTTTTCAGTTGCTGTTTCTGTGCATCTTTATCTGACACAATCAGATGACAGTATTGTTAACTCTCACAGCATTAAGAAGATTTCTTATTTTGTAGGCATGTACTGTGAGAAGTAAAATTGCTGCTTTGACAAGGATGATTCCAGTTTACTAAAGGTGGATGATTCCATCTTGATTTTCTCCCTTCTACACACCTTTACTTCCCCCTAGCCTGGCCTAGGGTGAAACAAGTGTTCACTTCCAATCTTGATTTTTATTTGGATTCAGCATTTTGGGTTTTGAAAGTTACAAGAAAGAACTATAAATGGCTATATTCCTAGATTTTAATCTATCTGACAGAATATACAACTTAAAAGCCAGAAAAAATTAGGGTTCATTACCGGGAGATGAACTTTTTCTAGTTGTAAGACAAATTGGTGAAGGTGGGGTCTGATCTTTATTGTGTCACTTGAAGAGACTGTCATCCTTTACTTGAGGTTCCCTTTCTGACAGTGATGTGGCCTCTCTTGAACAAAGTCATATGGGAGCCCCCAGAAATGACCCCTTTACTGTGTAGGGCCACAAGCAAAAAAACCCTGGTTGTGTATAGCCACTGATGCCCAAGGACTCACAGTTCTTGATTTCTGCTGGTGTGTCTTGGAGTTATTACTCTTTACCCTTTTTCAGTGGCCAGTCTGGTCTGGACCAGGCCTGAAAAACTTATGCTCACTTGTATCATTTTCATTCTGAGCCAGTAGGACTTTGAGTAGACTTAAAAGCCCAAGAAGTGGTACTTGCTTTGGCTAGTGACATTTGATTTTTGTCTCCATCTTGATTTACTGACATTTTTGGCCAAGTCACACTAACCTTGTTTGATCATTAAGAAAAACAGCCCACAAGATATTAGGGAGGGTAGTTAAGGTGGAAGGTGGGGGGCAGGAATGCTTATGTAGGGTAGAAAGAATATGGGGGTACCTGTTTGGTTATGGTGATTCAGTCCTTTGGAACCTTAGAAAGCTCCTGTAGGCATGTAAATGCTACCATTTCTGCTTCTAAGATCCCCCCCACCTTTGAAATGACAATACAAATAGACCACAGTTTAAAGTACTTAGTATAATTCTACTAAGGTTTAATCATTATACTTGTTCACTGCCTGGTACATATTTGCTAAATATGCTTGGCGTTTGGGGTTGGGGTGTGAGTTTTCACTGTTCCATTGTGTGTCACCCTGTATTTTTCTCCCTCCTGTGACTTTGGCATCTTCTTTGACTTTCTATTTTCTTTTCCTTTGGCTTATTGCAATAGTCTGCTGGTGCAAGTAGAGAACTCAGTGTGCCTATTCCCCTATTACTGCTAATTATCTTCAATATTGTCAGAGGTTTTCTTTATGTTCTAAGAAAATAATGCAATTTTTTTACAAAATCATCTTTTCCAAGTTAAAAACAAAATAAAATATCCCCTGTGATAGGGTGCCCATTTCAGCTTTTGACATTGCCCATTATAGATGCTTTTTTGTCTATGTTGGTAGTAACTAATGACTAGTGAATTTTCATGTAAATGAAGCAAATTAAATATTTCAGATTTTATTAATCTCTTATAACCCTGCCAAATCTGATGACTTTTTATTTTAATTACTTCCCAGAAGGCACTTCCCCTCCTACCTTTTATTCTATTCTGTTCTATTTTTAGAATAACACACTAGATAAAGAAACTTTAAGTGCAAGGAATCAGTGATTTTTAGTGCTCCCTGATAATGTTGACAACAAAAGTAAGAAATTCTTTAATTGTTTTTTCCTGTGTTACTATCTTCTCTCCTGTGCTCTTGATAGTGTGTTTAGCAGATGGATAATATGTATTTCTCTTTTCCACTCCCAGATTCCAAATACCCTGCCTTTTTGGTCCACCTCACCACAAAAGCTCCAAGGTTTATTAATGTAAGTTTGAATGGATGCTTCTTTGGGGAAACTGCAGAAATTAATGGAAGTGTTTCAGAAAGGAATGAGAATGTTTCAGGAGTTGTTCTGTGATGGAAATTGGTCTGTTGTTCTGTTAATGCTGATGGAAAGAAACTTGCAGTGCTTAATAAAAATCTATTCTTTTAGTAAAAAAAAATTGTGAAATAATTTTGTTTAAAGTTTGATTTCTTCTCCCATCTCCGGATCACATTCTGCAAACGAGAGATACACTTGTCTCAATCTAGAGTGTTACACATAGATTTAGAAGTCCATTTGTAGAATATCAGGGCCAGAGACCCAGTACAAGAATCATCAAAAGGAAGACATATTTAGCTTGCTGGTTAACTTCTTTATTTGGATGTTCTAAAGGGACTTTTGTCTTGTCTTGGTGTTTCCCAAACTGAACCCATCCTTTTTTTTTCAGCATATTATGGGGGTACAAATGTTAGGGTTACATATATGGCCTATGCCACCCTCCCCCCTCCCACCCGCCCAACACCTGATAAATGTTATTCCTATATGTCCACTTAAGTGTTGATCCGTTAATATCAATTTACTGGTGAGTACATGTGGTACTTGCTTTTCCATTCTTGAGATACTTCACTTAGTAGAATGGGTTCCAGCTCTATCCAGGAAAATCCAAGAGGTGCTATATCACCATTGTTTCTTAAAGCTGAATAGTACTCCATGGTATACATATACCACATTTTATTAATCCACTCATGAATTGATGGACACCTGGGTTGTTTCCACACCTTTGCGATTGTGAACTGTGTTGCTATAAATATTCGAGTGCAGGTGTCCCATTTGTAGAATGTCATTTGATCTTTTAGGTACATCCCCAGTAGTGGAATTTCTGGATGAAATGGTAGATCTACTTGTATCGCTTTAAGGTATCTCCATATTGTTTTCCACAGAGGCTGAACCAGTTTGCAGTCCCACCAGCAGTGTAGGAGTGTTCCTATCTCTCCACATCCACGCCAACATTTATTGTTTGGGGACTTTTTGATAAACACCATTCTTACCAGAAATAAGTGATATCTCATTACAGTTTTGATTTGCATTTCCCTGATGATTAGAGATGTTGAGTATTTTTTCATATGTTTGTTGGCCTTTATTCTGTCTTCTTTTGAAAATTTTCTGTTCATGTCCTTTGCCCACTTTATGAAAGGGTTGTTTGATGTCTCCTGGTTGATTTTCCTGAGTTCTAAATATATTCTAGTTATCAGCCCTTTGTTGATGTGTAGCTTGCGAAAATTTTCTCCCATTCTGTGGGTTGTCTGTTTGCTCTCTTGACAGTTTCTTTGGCTTTGCAGAAGATTTTTCATTTGATTAGGTCCCATTTATTTATTTTTGTTGATGCTGTGATTGCCTTTGGGGTCTTATTCATAAATTCTTTGTCTAGAAGAGTATTTCCAACGTTTTCCTCTAGGATTCTAATAGTTTCACACCGAATGTTCAAGTCTGTTACTCAGCGTGAGTTGATTTTTGTGAGAGGTGAAAGGTGTGGGTCCTGTTTCAGTCTTCTGCATGTGGCTGTCCAGTTTTTCCAGCACCATTTATTGAATAAGGATTCTTTTCCCCAGTGTATGTTTTTGTCTGGTTTGTTGAAGATTAGTTGGGTATATGAGGATGATTTTATATCTGGGTTCTCTATTCTGTTCCACTGGTCAATGTCCCTGTTCTTGTGCCAGTCTCAAGCTGTTTTAATGACTATAGCCTTGTAGCATAGTTTGAAATCTATTAGATTGATACTTCCTATTTTGTTTTGATTGCCTAGGATTGATTTTTGCTATACGGGGTCTTCTCTGGTTCTATACGAAGCATAAAATTATTTTTTCTATATCTGTGAAAAATGATGGTGGTATTTTAATAGAGATTTCATTGACTCTGTAGGTCACGTTGGGTAGTATAGACATTTTAACAATGTTGATTCTGCTGACCCATAAGCATGGTATATTCTTCCACCTGTTTACATCCTCTGCTATTTCTTTCTTCAGTGTTTCATAGTTCTTCCTGTAGAGGTCTTTTACCTCCTTAGAGAAATATATTTCTAGGTACTTTATTTTCTTTGTTGCTATTTTTAAGGGAATTAAGTCTTTGATTTGGGTCTCACTTGTACTACTGTTGCCGTATATGAATGCCTCTGATTTCTGTGTATTGATTTTGTATCCTGAGATTTTACCAAATTCATTTATCAGATCAAGGAGTCTCTTGGCTGAATCCTTGGGGTTTTCTATGTATATCATGTCATCAGCAAAGAGTGAGAGTTTGATCTCTTCTGCTCCCATTTGGACACCCTTAATTCTGCTCTCTTGTCTGATTGTTGTAGCAAGGACTTCCAGCACTATGTTAAATAGAAGTGGAGATAGTGGGCAACCTTGTCTTCCTCCAGTTCTAAGTGGGAATGCTTTCAATTTTTCCCCATTCAGTATGATATTGGCTGTGGGTTTGTCATATATGGCTTATATCATTTTTAGGTAAGCCCCGTCTATGCCTATTTTGTTGAGCGTTCTTATCATAAAAGGGTATTAAATTTTGTCAAATGCTTTTTCTGCATCTATTGAGAGGATCATATGGTCTTTATTTTTGTTTCTGTTTATATCGTGAATTACATTTATAGATATGCGTATGTTGAACCATCCCTGCATCCCTGGGATGAAGCCCACTTGGTTGTGATGGATTATTTTCTTGACATGCACCTGGATTAGATTGGCTAGGATTTTGTTGAGAATTTTTGCATCTATATTCATAAGGGATATTAGTCTGTAGTTTTCTTTTTTTGTTGTATCCTTTCCTGGTTTTTGTATCAGGGTCATGTTCACTTCATAAAATGTGCTGGGGAGGATTTCATCCTTCTCGATGTTGTGGAATAATTTCTGCAGGATAGGCACCAGTTCTTCCTTGTAGGTGTGGTAAAATTCGGGTATGAAACCATCTGGTCCAGGACTTTTCTTTTTAGGAAGGTTTTTCATTGCTGTTTCAATTTTATACTTGATATTGGTCTGTTCAGGAATTCTATTTCTTTCTGGTTGAGCCTAGGGAGGCTGTGTGTTTCTAAGAAATGGCAATTTCCACACTTTTCCGTTTGTGTGCATAGTGGTTTTTGTAAGTATTGAAAATAATTGCTTGATCCCGTGGCATCAGGTTATAATTTCTCCTTTATTGTTCTCGATGGAGCTATTAGAGATTTTTCTTTTGCTTTCGTTAGTCTAGCCAAAGGTGTCCTTTTGTTTATTTTTTTCAAGAACCAACTTCTTTGTTTATTATATCTCTCCGCTTACGTTTCCCTGTTGTCAATTTATTAGTCTGATTTGGATCTTAATGATGTTCAATTTACTGGGTTGGGGTTGCCTTCTTTTTTTACAGCTCTTTGAGTCAATCTTAGGTTGTTATTTGTGTCTTTTCACTTTTGAATAGGCTTTTGGAATCCTTTCTCTCGCTTTTAGGTGTGTTCACAGGTTTTGGTAACTTGTGTCACTTTGTTTTATTCAAAGATTTTGATTTCATTGTTCCTGATTTATGAAGTGTCATGAGCAGAAGGTTGTTTAGTTACTGCTTTGTTATAAATGAGAGGCTCCTGATAGGACTTGATAACATATCGTGTCTAAAAAGATATCTGGTATATTTTTTTTTTAAAAATTTTTGAGATGTGCATTGTGTCTAGGTATGGTCAATATTAGAGAATGCATGAGCTGGATGAGAAGAATATAATTCATCGCGTTTGGTAGATGGTCCATATTATGTTGTCAGGCCCATTGTTCTAGGTTCTTTTTTATGTTTTAATCAATTATTTCTTTGTGCATTTTCTGGTTAGAGGTCTTCTCTGTGCATCAGTGTGGTGTTAAAAGTCTCCAACTATTATTGGTTTTATTTATCATTGTTGAGTCAAGTAGAGTATTTGGAAATCTAGGTGCACCAAGTTTGGGTGCATATATTATTGGAGTGTTATGTTTCTTTGAATGTACCTTCATTATAAGTGACTTTTTATCTTTTTCCTTTTGTTGGATTTAAAACTAGTTACGGCATCACTGAGCCGCGCGAGGATCAGACTCCCTTACCTCGCTTCCAGAGTCGTTCCCGCGCCTTCTCCCGCGCTGCCTTCCGCAGGCCGTTTCCCCGGGAAAGGAATCGTATGGTATGTCGATATCCAGAACCTCCATCTTCGATCTCTTGCTGATGCAGTAAGGGTGTGACCTGTTGCCTGCTGCACTGAGGCATTATATCATATAAGAATTCAAAGGAACGGCAAGGAAGACCCTTACACTGTCCACAAGGGATCGACTGATGATTAACGTAAAAGAAATTATGAAGGCGATTTAAGAAGAATTCTCGCATGGATATGTAATTGCAGCATCCCAGAATTGAGAAGATAATTCAGCTACAGCGTGACTAGCGCAAGAACATTGCCCAGTTCCTTGTAAGAGGATTGACCTGGCTAAGACGTCAGCTGAAGGTTATGGGTTTTAAGTGCTTGTTGGCCTCGGAAGTTAAGTGAGGTTTCCTATGCAATGAGTGAATTTCCCCTCTGTCCCTGTGTCACAAGTTTAAAAACCTCACAGCTGTATAATGAATGTAACTTTGGGTTGCTTTTATTGGACTAGTGTAACTCCTTCATGCAATAAACTGAAAAGAGCCATGCAAAAAAAAAAAAAAAACCTAAGTTATCTGTAATCAGCATTGCCGCACCTCCACCCCTTTACCTTTAGTGTAACTACATCCTTGCAAGTTAGATATGGTTCCTGAAGGCAGCAGATACTTGGCTTGTATTTTTTTATCCATTCGGCCAGCCTATGTCTCTTGAGTGGGGAGTTCAAGCCACTCACATTTATTGAGATAACTGATAGGTGGGGCAGATTTCTGTTCATTCTGAGGGGTTGAACTTTGTTGCTTTGTTTTCTCTCTTGAGCCATTGTTGTATCTGGGCTTTGATCTTTAGCTTTGAGTAGATTTACATTCATGAGTGTTTATTGTGCTGATCTGTGGGTAACACTGTTTTGAGTACTTCTTCAAGGGCTGGTCCTGTCTTGGTGAATTCCCTCAGTCTTTGCTTATCTGAGAATGTCTTGATTTCTCCTTCATATACAAAACTTAGTTTTGCAGAGAATAAGATTCTAGGCTGGGCATTGTTCTGTTTCAGAAGAGTGAGAATGGGGCCCCTGTCTCTC